TCATCAAGGAGCTCGCTTATGCAACCTATGGTACATGTTAACCTGATATGAAGACTTGGAGGTCGAGCTCCCCCAAGAGCTCGAATAGGTGAGGGAACCTCATGACTCGTAGGTCATAATGGTATAGTTCGTGTTAAGACCTGGATAACGTCCATGGCATGGAGGTTGTGAGTTCGTTTGGACGACCTACACCTAAGCGCCGTATGGTAAGAGATGACAGAATCCTTCAAGGATAAAAAGTATAACTCGCTATAGGAGCCTGAGATTCTAGAGATGTGATAAGCTGAAAAATGGATAAGGTTGAATCTATTTCATAGTTAGGATTATACTTGGACAACAAGATTAATGCATATTTACGCGCAGACTTTGGCGTCATTTCTGTCAAGACTCCTCCCCGACGTATTTCAGATTACTAGAGCTCGAGACTCAAGACAGAAAGTTGCTCGTGGTGATGTCGATTTAACCCGATCCAAGAACAATTTGCATATCAACAGTCATTGTTGTAGCTTCATTGCGTTACTTCCCAAAACACTAAGGTTTAAATATCAGCACCAGGACACACATGATAGTCCCTCGGAAAAAATTGACGTAGCCATTTTATAGTTCCACGTAGGGGTGAGCATTGATGTGGTTCGGTGAAAGACCTAACCACACCGCAAAAAACCGAAAACAGAAAATCTGAAATTTGTACACAAAACCGCACCGCAAGAAAAGAACAAACCGAACCGAACTGAAATTTTCAGTTTGGTGCGGTTGGATTTTTCGGTTAACCGCAATTTAAATAATGCAAAAACTCAAATCAGAGTTCAAACCATACAAACTAAACCTTAAGCCAAATCACGAATCAAAGTTCACTAATTTGTTTTTTTATGTTCAAACTTCTAAGTTAATTAATTATAAATTTAAAATCGTGTAAGCGTTTAAGGTGATATTCGGGAAAAATTCAAAACTAATCTCACAGGTATAAGAGGGTGACATTTTGGGTCCCAACGGAATGTAAAAATTATAAATAGTCCCACAACTTTTTAAAAATGATCAAAAGTAGGACTTTTTGCCGGATTTTACTGTTTTCGGCCCGGAATGCCATGTGGCGCACACGTGGCATATATTTTTTACACGCTGGCATCCGACGTGGATATGAAAAAAATCAAAACTAGTCCCACAGGTATAGGGAGGTGACATTTTTGGTCCCACAGGTATCGGAATGTGACATTTTTGGTCCCACAAGTATGCATAAAATATGCAACAAAATATGCCACGTGTGCGCCACGTGGCATTCCAGGTCGGAAACAGTAAAATCCGGCAAAAAGTCCTACTTTTGATCATTTTTTAAAAGTCGTGGGACTATTAATTTTTTTTGCATTCCGTTGGGACCAAAATTGTCACCCCCTATACCTGTGGGACTAGTTTTGAATTTTTTCCGTGATATTCTAACAACTTTATTTGACACATCAAAGTTTCGGTGCAGGTCGATTAAAGTCACACTGCACCGCAAATCGAACCTTCTAAAACTGAATCGCACCGCACTGAACTTATAGGTTCGGTTCGGATTTTGTTTCAAAGCGGTTCTGCTCAACCTTAGTTCCACGTTATAAGACATACATGATATAGCGTATAAGAATGGATCGACAAAACCAGACAAGGCTAACTCGGCTCATGAACCGTAGTTAGCTAGGATGGTGGGTATAGAAACAACTCACTTATATTAGTAGCTCGAAGGGTATGGAGCTCGGGTATCAGCACTAATACTAATAGCTCGACTTGTAAGACACTGGTAGTTGTAGCTCGGCGTAAGAGTAGCTAGGCCTTTGTGAGGGTTGTCCATATTAGTAGGTCATGACAGAAGCAGCTCGAATGGTATGTGGCTCCAAGGTGCAAAACAGTCAAGGATTGTTGGAAGGCCGGCTCGAGGTGCGAGAACACGTCAATAAGTATCTTTTACCAATATTACCCCAAGAGAGGAGTCAAGCAATTGACCAACCTCAACTTAGACAACACAAGATATCAAAAGGAGCTTTATAAGGATAACCAAAGACACGAATCCAGACACGAGTTCTTTTTCTCTTAAAAGAAAGGCTGCAACACAAAAGGATAGATAACCAAAATAAGTCTAAAATGAGTTTAAAAACAAATAGCCATAATCCATAGCCCAGCTTAACTCCATAGTGCAAGTAATTGTGGTGATAGCCTGATAGGTAAAAATTGAAGACAAAGAACTTGTTTTAATATTAGCGAATAAAAGTAAAATTAGCTGATTGAACCACATTTAGATGTATCATCTATCAAATACGTTGAATAACTTGTTTGATAAGTGTCTTATTGCTTAACTTTTTAAGACCAAAACGCTAATTTTTTTTCCTAGAAAAAAGAAACTCAATCTATAAAGTTTTGAGAAAAGGTTATACATAAAATTTCCAAAATAACTATCCAAACCATTCTTTATCGAACAGTTATTTGCAAACCGATAATACAATATGCTAGTCAAATCAAGTATTACTGTCCACTTGGGGTGAACATGTGTTGGTACGGTTCGGAGATAGACAAATCTCCGGAACCGTACCAAAATTTGAATATCACTAAATTTGATATCCGGAACCGTACCAGAAAATCGGGACGGTTCGGTTCGGAGATTTTTTGTTCAGTTCGATATTCGGGACTATCGAAACGATTTGATTCGGATTGGTTCCGTTTGAATCTCTGGAGATTCTTAATTATTTTTTTAATGACTACCTAGTTATATTTTAATTTTTATATGCTTTAAAAAAATCCAACATTCATCAACACATTATCATATTAAAGATTTTAAATAATATTTTTAAAACAGAAAAAATTCAATTGTAGATCAAGTATTACTAAAACACACATTATCCAAGAGTTCACATCCCATAATTCCGATACAAATCCCATAATTCACATACCACAATTCCATATGATATATTATAAATTTAGTTATCACTTTTTCATCAATACATGGGTACTACCAAAAAGCATTGAACCTGTGCCGTCTTCAAGCAGTGGGTGTCAACGTGTCATAATATTATTATTAAACTGATAGATATTATGGTGAGAATATCTATCACTATTTTTATTTGAAAGTATATCATATTTAAATAAATATTTCTCACCGAATTTTGTGAAACATTTTTTTTTTCATAAAGTCCGGTTACCAAATATTCTAAATTTGAATTTGGTTTATAATTAATGATTCTTTAATAATATTTGACACATAGTTTACCAAAATTTGTGATAGGAAAAGTATATTAGTCTTTTTAAACTAATGTCTCACATTCAGTAAAAAAAAATAAAATAATTTATATTTACATTTCACTAGTGGAGATTTTTTGTAATTCAATTTTAATTATAATATATAATAGTTTATGAAGATAGACTAATGTATATGGATTTTATTTTCAATTCAACTTTAGATAAAAATATGTACAAAGACGAAAAGAAATTAAGATTAAATATTATATATATATATGAATTTTATGAAATAAAATCAGTTCTTGTTCGGTTTTCGTTCGATATAGATTTTTTTCAATTCGGTTCAAATATTTTATAAAATCTCAATAACGGTACCAAATTTTTTTTCGGTTCGGTTTTGTTTCGCTTAGTCCAGCACATTCTATGCTCTCTCTCTCTCCCTCTTTCACACACACACACACACTCAAACACAGAGAACGAAGATGTTAGCCAATTCAGTTCAATCAAGCATCAAGACCACAATACCATGCCCATTTTCCGATGCCCATTCCAAGAAAATCTGTATTTCATCCTCAGTTCCTCTGGAACCTAAATCAATTAATCTTCATTCATTATCCAGTCCTGACCTCAACACCAAACGCCGGATTAGGAGAAATCGGAAAACCTTACCGGCTGCGGCCGCCGCAGAATTAGCTCCGTCTGAAACAACTTCCTTAGCTTCGGACTCCGAACCTGCTGAAGAATCTCAGGTTCAATTGAGCAATTTTTTTCTGATTTTATTTATTCTTCTGCGCATTACTTTCTGGGCTTTGCTAGAAATGCTTGCTTTTGGTATGTGATTGCTGATTAACCGATTTGTAAATCAAAGAAATAAAAGAAGAGATGGATTTGAATTTATGATCTCAAATCTAAATTTGCATAGAGTCGGATTCGAGGACGAATCCTGCATGGTGGAGAATAATAACATATTCTAGTCTACACTACTAGTTTAGTACAAGTTTAAATGAATGTGATCAATGAGTGAAAAAATGGAAAAGTGTTCGTCAAAGCTTTCACGAATACAACTCGGATTTGCTCGTGAAAACTCGAGCTTGGTTTGTCCGTTTACTTACATAAGTCAAGCTCAAGCAGCTAGTCGAGCACGTTTCATAAGCCTGATTAAGTAGAACCGAGTCTTATGTTCGTTTATTAAACGAGCCGAGCCGGACTCGTTTATTAAACACGGACTACTTAGCTTAGCTCGGCTAGAATAACACCCGAGTCATTTAATAATATTTTGTTTCTTAAACTAACAAATTGTCTTGTCTGTTGAGAAGCTGCTGGAAGAAGAGGTGAAATCATTTCCAAAGCCAAGGCTAGTGCTGAAGTTCATATGGATGGAGAAGAATATCGGGCTTGGGCTGGACCAGTTGTTACCGGGCTACGGTACAGTGCCGTTGAGCCCGTACTTCTTCTGGCCCCGTAAGGACGCATGGGAGGAGCTGAAGAACACACTGGAAAGCAAGCCCTGGATCTCCCAGAAGAAGATGATCATACTTCTTAATCAGGCAACTGATATAATCAACCTCTGGCAACAAAGTGGACGCAATTTGACATAATAATTTTTGTGGCCTGGTTAAAAAAAAAAAAAAA